TAAGGGATTGTTCTTTTCCCCTCCCCCAGATCTCCCCTAGCCCTTCAGGGACCTTTTTTCTAGCCCCCTCCCCCAGTGCTATCGCCAAGGGCTGGGACAAGGGAAAGGGACTGGGGCAGGAGGGCTACTTACTGGTGTGCTGGCAGGCAAGATGGTGGAGCCCTAGCTGGAGAGATGAACAACTACATGCTTCCTCTTTCCTCCCTCCTCCTCCCTCCCTCCGCATTTGCTGCCTGTATCAGAAAGAGGCAGCTGAGGGTGGGCCTCGCTGACCCCGGGCTCCATGCGGCTCTGCTGCTTTGAAATGCTGCGTGGAGCCTGATGACGTTTTCCCTGTGGCATTTCAACGGCAGCGTCCAGCTCCCTAACTGACCCCGGGCTCCATGTGGCGCTTCCGCTTTGAAATGCCAGCAGAAGCACGGGGCCAGCAGAGGACTGCTTGAATACCCTGCTGGCCCCGTGCTCCCTAGAGTGTTTCACCCCCTAAAAGATAAAAGGTTAGGCCAAATGAGAATTATCTAAGGGAATGACTCTGGCTACTGTTATGCAGAGCGGACTACAAGATGATCACAGTTGTCCCTTCTTGACTTAGAATCTGTGAATATATGCTATATATTAACTGTGCCCTTCATCAAAGGTACAGATTTTCCTAAAATAGAAGGTAACAGGAAAAAATTCAATACACTGTGGGTACTTCAGAGCCTGCTAGGGAATGCACATTTAGTCTGCAAGCATATGTGTGCCTGACGTGCAGAGATGAGTCACTTTAAATGAAGCTGATTAATGGTGACTACAAGATGGTAGCATTTATTTTAATTCTAGTGGAGAAATGATATATCTGTGTGAGGGGAAAGCCTATTGGGGACCATAGGAAATTATATTCTCTTCTATATTTTGCAGACCTTTTCAAGGTCGCTTAAAATCTGATCATCTAAAGGGCTAAAGTTGGCCATGTATCTTCTAAGAGAATATTGTAATACAGGCAGTCCCCGACTTACGCGGATCCGACTTCCGCACTTACGAATGGGACTTTTCTCGCCCCGGAGCTCGCGGGCGGCGGGACCGCCCAGAGCGCAGCGGTCCCGCCACCATGTCTTCTGGGGCGAGAAAAGCTGCTCCGGGTCTCCCTGGTGAGGACTCCCCAGCACAGCAGGGAGACAGGAGCAAAGCCGCAGAGGCGGAGGACCCCGCCGCCTGTGCGGCTTTGCTCCGGGGCAAAGGAGCAAAGCCGCACGGGCATCGGGGTCCTGCCGCCTGTGCGGCTTTGCTCGGGTCTCCCGGCTTTGCTCCTGTCTCCCTGCTGTGCTGGGGGGGGACTTCCCCCCAGCACAGAAGGGAGACAGGAGCAAAGCCGCACAGGCGGCGGGACCTCTGCACCTCCGCGGCTTTGCTCGGGTCTCCCTGGTCTGCTGGGAGGGGAGGCGGCGCAGCTAGTGCCCCCCCCCAAGCAGACTAGGCTTTTGTTGCGGGACACCTGGGGTAGAGCAGCTGGGGTGCTGCCGGGTTGGTCCTGCGGGGACCTACCCTGCAGTGCCACAGCTGTTCTGTCCCAGGTGTCCAGATTCAGCCGCTGTTGAAACTGATCAGCGGCTGATTCCAGGAAGCCGGGGGCAGAGCAACTCTGCCTAGGGCTTCCTGTAGTCAGCCTCTGATGAGTTTCAGCAGCGGCTGAATCTGGAGCCAGTTCCGAGTTACGTACAAATTCAACTTAAGAACAAACCTATAGTCCCTATCTTGTACGTAACCCGGGGACTGCCTGTACTTCTAATATAAATAAGTTGCACATATTAATTCAAAAGGAATTTATGAATCCGTTACTAGCTGACTAAGCAAGTATCCTTGTTTTAAATATGTTATTTACAATGACTTCTTAAAAGTAAACACACCCGCTTCTTTTCACATTGTAATGAATCTTGGATGTATTTTTGTGTACTCAGTATGTATACATATATAAAACGGGTTTTTTTTGTCAAAAACATTCTATTTGAGGTTTGCCATAATTGAGGAAATAGACATCCAATGATACCCGGATGTATAATTTAAGTATGACTTAGAAGGTTCCAATGAAGATTGGAAACTGTGGAATGTAAGTAAATATGAGTGCCTTGAAAGGTAACTTTTTTTATTTTTTATTCAGCCTTGCCAGTCCTCCTGCTGTGGACCTAAGAACCATCATGGAACTTGAGGAAAATATGCAGAAGCGTGGAACTATGCCAAAGACAAATTCAAGGTTGGTAAAAAACCAAAATCTATAAAAAAGAGAGATGTTGACGAATAGACCATTATGGATTTACTTCGTGGTTCAGATGGTTTAAGATTTAAAAGAAGGAAAATCTATCTCTTTTTGTGTTTGTACAGCTTTGTTTATTCATTTTGTTATGGAATTTCTGTCCATGTATTTAAAATGTATGTCTCTTTATGCAATGGCCTGATTAAGCAAGTTAGTGCAGAACCCTCACTTGGACTCCTGAGACATAAATGGAAATATTAGTAAAATAACAGATCATATGTGGAATCGGCGGCCTACCTGGCCAACCATTTTTGGGCTCTCTCTGTTCAAATATAATGTAAATTACCACCTTGTTGCTCTTTGGGTATCATCTGTTCCCACCATCCCTTCCAGACTCCCCAGTTGCATGGTGTTGTACCAGATTACCACTGATGTGGATTTGGGGGGGGGAGAGATGATTTCAGTGCATACTGGACCTTTCGCAGGACTTTTTTGCCCACCTATTAGCCTAATTGTCACCTGTCTGTATTTTAAGGAGCAAACACAAGATGGAAAAGTGCATTTTGGAAACAAAATTCATGGTAAATTAAAACTTTAGACCAGAAATACTCAGTAAAACTGTATATACATAAACATAAAAATTGAGTTAGTGGGGTTTTTTTTGTTTTTTTGGGGGGGGGGGGTATTTTTAGGTATGTCTACCCATACGTGAGAGTGGTCAATGATTCTGCCTTGATCAGAGAAGGGGGAACATCCTGGGAAGTCTCTACCATCTCGCTCGGAGGAGCAATGTGAAAGCATAATATCTAGAAGAAACTTTAATGCAGGGCTACTCAACTTTGGAAAGCTCTGGGGGCCACAGTGATACTCACAGCACATGCCGAGGGCTGAAACTTAAGTGCTGTTGCATATATATGCAAATATATGCAAATATTTTCTTTTATGCTGATGGGCATGAATGCAAAGATTAACGCAAGACTATGCAACATGCAGGCTCTATTTAAGTCAGTTCTGCTGATATTAATAAAATGCAATATTTACCCGATTCCCACCCATATGACAGCACTTTTAATGAGTAATGACAGTCCAGAAATTTAACTACTAAAACACATATCAACAGAAGACCATTATATTGACTTGCCGTTGGGGAACGTGTTTCCAGTGGAGGCCATGTTCAAAGGATCCCACCCATGGGCCACGTGTTGAGCCCTGCATAAACCCAAACTGCACCACAGGCTGCAAATAAATGGGCCGCATGTATGTGTTGAGTAGCCCTGCTCTAATTCATTGTATGTCCAACCAAACAATTGACTTCCCTTGCACTCTTTTTTAAAAAAAAATTGCATCCAACATATACACTTATTTAAATTCCACTTTGTGCTATTGGTGGTACTTCATAATGTTTTACCTCTTGACACCAGCAAAGTGTCCCTTGGGATCCCATTTTCTAAATGTGGAAGACTCTGAAAATAGAAAAAGACAGAGAAGCCTAGTTGCCTTTTAGTTTCTTCTTAACTGCTGAAGTGTTGAGGACTATCTGTGTTTGGTTAAATTATCAGTCAGTTTTCTCTCTTTTTAAAGAAAAGGTGCTTTTTTGACACTGGTATCTGGACCCATGCAACATGAGACAACTTCCTCAAACATCTGTGCTGTTGAAGGGAGGCTCCTCAGGCCCAGTTCACGAAGTCTGTCATTAAGTCTATCATTGACTTCAGGGAGCTGCTCACCTGAGTGACTCTTTATCTGCCTTGAAGCAGTGTCCAAGTTTGTGTTTGACTAAGATTGATGATACTCTAGCATACACATTGAGAAACAGAAGTTCCTGAAATAGTCTGGTTCAATCTAATCTGATGCTAAAAGTCTTGCATTGCAGTTCATTCTAATCTTTGTGCTTGAAGAAGTCTGCTACCTGCATTGGTGATGCTAGGTCCTTAAATCCACCCAGAAAAAAAATCATTTTGAAGTTTTGCCCAATACCAGTAGCACTAATGTTCCTGGTTTCATTGATGACTTTGGTAAACTGTTAGTTGAAATGGCTGTCTACCCAGTGTTAATCAAAATAGAATACCCTGCTGTGAGTTTATGAAGTTTGGCATCAGCAGTGTTAGATACAGTAAAACTTCATTAGTCCGGCATCCAATGCTCCGGGACTCCTGATGGCCCGGCACCATCAGGAACCCGGAAGTGCTGGGGCAGCTGGACAGGCTTCCCCCATTCAGCTGCTGCTGAAACTGACCAGCAGCTGAATCGGGGAAGCCGGGAGCAGAGCAGCTGGGGTGCTGCCAGGTTGGTCTGGTAGTGCTGCCCCTCGGGGCTGCGGGACCAACCTGGCAGCACCCCAGCTGCTCTGCCCCAGGAGTCCCCGATTCAGCCGCTGCTGAAACAGATCAGCGGCTGATTCCCAGGAGCCCGGGGCAGAGGAAACCCGCAGCCA